GTACATTGATTTGTGGGAAAAATTACATATTCGCTATTAATTCATTTTGTTTAGTTCATTATTTAATATTAGAGACTTGGCCTCAAAAGCATTTATTAAAATGATTTAAGCAGTGTAAAATGTCAAAACAAAACAAGCCCAATTTTCAAAATAATTCATTAGCTTTTAATTCCTCAAAGAATTATATAACCAACATCCATGAATACTTTAATATAATTTCAATTTGTGAAGTATTTTATTGATCTGTTGTTTTTTATGTAAAAAAAGTTTTATATTATTCCTTACTGATTATTGTTATAATTATGCATCTGAAATTCAATAAACTGGTTATTATATCCATTTGATTCATTGTATGAGATTGATTCCTTTTTTCTGAAGAAACTCAATTTTGAATAAAAATTGATTTTAATTCTCTATGATAATTAACACATTAAGTAAGATCATTGAGTCTGGGAGTTCACCTTTTGGTCTTACATTTCTTGCAAGGAATATGTTCCTGCGTCAACGAGTTTGTTTAGTATCATTGTATGAGATTGATTCCTTTTTTCTGAAGAAACTCAATTTTGAATAAAAATTGATTTTAATTCTCTATGATAATTAACACATTAAGTAAGATGTGAAGAGAAAAATAAAACAGTTTATCCTAATAAATTTGAAGCTAAATTTATTTCATATAGAGAAATAATGGTAATTGAATTCAAAACTTATATTTCAAAGAGGAACAATATATTTAATCGAATAAATGATTATTGAAAAATTAATCCGCAATTTGGGCTGCCAGTATTTGAAAATTATGAGTCGCAACAAATTCATTTTACAAAATGGTTAAGGCTTTCGTGGTCGAGATCTTCAGTGTCACTATTTTCTGGGTTTGAAGGCCGTGGATTTTTGGAATTTCTTCCAGACGTTTCGCGGCTCAAGTGGCCTAGCTTTCTCAGAGGTTTATACATCTTGAGTTGATATCTCCGATTACTGGATATTATGGCTGCGTAACGCATATTGACTCATCAGGTGTGGAAACACACCTGTCATGAGAGATATATTCAACTGCTAGGTTTTGTAATATTTCGTCCAATCCCATTTTTATATCCATCAAGATTGATAGGCATTTTTATATATGTTCGTTTCACTCAAAATTAAGTTATCATATAGGAGTGTGTCCTTGATATAGAGCAAAGATGCTATTGAGGGTAGAATATTTATCATCAATTTTTTAGCTACCTTACAATAGAATTCGTTCAGCGTGTTAGGATCCATATTCATATGAGCTAGAAGTTTAGAATTATTCCTTCTCAGATTATTTATTATGATTATTTGCATTATCTATCCCATTTTCATAACGAAACTCTTTTGAAGCTCTAAACCACTTGCTCATAGATATTTTTATATTTGTGGAAATAATTCAAAATATGCTTATTGGATGTGTGTTTTCTAATTGAGTTTAGTTATCTAAAATTCGTAGCTGATATTTTGATTCCTTTTTACTGACGATTAGCCAGAACCAATTTGTATCTCAAGTCACCTATCTTTAGCATTTGCAAAAATTTTAATTCAATTTTTGCGATATCAATTTGATTCCCTAATATATATTGTTGAAACTACATCTCAGTCTTTCATGGTATAATTTTTTTATTTTATTTTTCTCAAATCGTAACTTTTTAGTTATAAGCACCTATATTACTTTTTTAACATACTTAATTGACCCTGTAAATTAACTGTTGGTTAACAAAGGCTATTAGTATTATTATTAATATAATTCCTAAGGACACCCACGGCTTCTTCCTCTTTTGCCTTATTTTCTTGACTGATAAATTATTTTGGAAGAGGACAGTTAGTTACATGTAGGATATTAAAGGCTTAGGAGAGGACAGACATTCTCTCCAATCTGTTATTGAGGCAATTTCTCTAAATTGTTCAAACTTTCCTTACTGAATATTCTACCATGCCTAGATGCCTACAATTCAATGTTGCACAGAGCATTCCCACTGCCTTTATCTGCTAACAATCTAGCTAGGGAAATTGATAAATTACACAGATAGGTCATAATAATGGTTTCAACGCAGATACTATCCAGAAGTTGGTCAGGAAACAAAGCCGGAAATTCACTTACCGATTAATATAACCTCAGGTCAAACAACCAGAAATCGAGAAATGGGTAACTCTAACATATTTTGGAAAAAGAACAGAGATAATTGCGGGTTTCTTCAAAAAAACAATGTGGAAGTGGCATTCAGACCACATGCCAGGTTATCTCATTTCTTTTTCAATGCCAGAAATAAGGTGGGCAAGTTGGAGACATCTGGAGTTTATAAGCTCAAGTGTCCGAAGTGTAATAGTGCTTATGTTGGACAATGTGGCCGTAATTTCCAAATCTACACGATTTGGAAATTTTGCACTATGCAAGGAAGGGTTACAAACTCAATTCACAAGCATTAACATTGCGGGTGCAACCTGTTAAATGATCAAATCGATGTAGTTTACTCACCGGTTTTTAAACTGGCACATCCGCATTGCAAACTATAAATTCAGGTACTCAATCCAGCCAAGTACCTCTATTAGTACCAAGAGGAGAGGTATATAAGGGCTAATGTAATGAACCATTGTTAGTTTATTGTATAAGTTTGAAAATGTCCGTATAGGAAGAAACTGCAGTAACGTTAGTTACAAATAAAAGTGGTAAAAACATAAAAAGTTTCATTTCTCTTTTCTTCATCCAGCTTAAATGTTTTTTTATTTAACCGACATTTCTGTAAGAATGGCTTCGAAGTTTTCAAAGAAACTGTCAAAATCTGAATTAGACATAGATTATTCCACCTATTGTATACTAAAGAAAATTCTAGTGCTTTGTTCACTCACTCAAATTGACTTCGATGATATTCTATGCATGATCTTCACATCTTTGTTTAAAATAACTTTTTTTGACATTGATTGCTTCCTTTCTTTCTTTGGAAGATTCCCACATTTTGTGTATCAAGATGGAGAAGTAGAAAGCCAAACACTTTCTTTCCCACCAAAATAATATAGTAAGTAGTAATAGATAAATGAACATAAGTTAAAATCAAAGCTATTCATAATAATCGCCAAAATAAGCAGTTATTTCCTCGGTCCCAGTTTATTTTCCATTCGGTCGGTCGGTAGGCAGGCGGTTTGACGTGGGTGCTTTGTTCACTCACTCAAATTGACTGCCGTGTTGGTCGGTGGTTCAAGCCCTAGTCTGAACGATCGATTTTAACTTGCTATTGTCCAACCCGTGTTAGGAATCACACGTTAAAAGGTAAGACCTCATTAATCCGTAACTCGCACAAGTTTCGACTTCTGAGGATTGTCTTTCATAGGGGTGTTACAGCTGGTTAACGGAAAAACAGATTTTAAACAGAGTTAGGAAGATAACAAGGTTCATCAGCTTTGAGGCAGTGCTACGTTAATAATATAGTCAATGAATACAAGAAGATAATCAATTTTATACCGCATATATATTCAAATACAATGGATATTTTTTAAATGTTTGTCAGGTGTTATTCTCGTAATTGAGAAGGCTGTTGTGTGTCTAAAAAAAATATCTGAAATTAATTGTGATGAGTTTTGATTTGTTTAAAGATACAAGTTTGATAGTCGTTAATACAATATTTCTCTTCTCACTGAGATATTTTTCAACAAACTGTTTCCCGTTTCCATATTGTCTACTGAGAATTCAATAGAAGTATTTACATTATATAATTACACTATAAATATAATCTATTTTGTATTGTTCTGTTAATCTTTTGGTCAGGTGGTTCATTGCATCCAGAAATAAGTATAAGATTATTAGTGGTTTGCTTAGGGCTAGGGTTTATTTTAAAGCAAGATTTAGGCTTGCGTTATTGCTTATGTTTTTTTATATTGAAGACGGCTATTACATGATTTTGGGAATCATGTGTGGTATTGAAAAAAAACATCCTACATTGAGTCTGGGAGTTCACCTTTTGGTCTTACATTTCTTGCAAGGAATATGTTCCTGCGTCAACGAGTTTGTTTAGTACACTAAAGAAGTTATTTGAATATTCGTCGCTTTCTTCTATTGAATAAAATCAGTAGATCGAGAGTGTCCCAGTTTGTGACACTATGGCATGGTCAGTGTATTTACAAATGTTTGAGTTTTGTTTGTATTTCATGTTGAGCATCATGATTGAACCATATTTCTGCTCCAATTCTCGGACTGATTTTTTGATGAGTTCATTAAATTGGCTTCCAAAGGGTGGCGTCATCGGCAAATAACACATTTAGTAGGTTGCAATTCCTCAAATATTTTTCAAGTAGATTATAAATCAAAGCAGTCCCAGAACTGAACCTTTTGTGTAAAATAAATAGTTGTTCCGTTGATTGTAAATCACTGAAAATGCTGCTTCAAGTAAAAATGGATAAACAACAGTACTTAAGCCTCTCATTCCATAAAATGCAATTTTTTAAGAAGACTACTATGATAGATGTAATGAAAAACCTTGCAAAGATCACACAGAGCTCAAGACTACCGATCCCCTCTTTAGAGCTGTAGCAGTGCATTTAGATTTACAAGTAGCTGTAAATTGGGTTGAACCCATTTCTCCTGTACTTCACTTATGATTTCAAATCCAACGTCTAAGCAAATGCTTTACAGCATATCAAGTTGCCTCTGTAGCTTTGAAGAGGATATTGTTGATATGGCCTATGCTATGCTTACATGTCGTTAAAAAATAAACTTTCATCTGTGACTTAAAAACAGATAAATGAATTAGAGCAAATACATTGTTGAAGTGACGTAATATATCATTACAACAGAGTGAAACAATTCCAATCTACAACTATTAAATGGTGCGACAATAATTCTATAATAATCACATAACAGTAAGTAAATAATAAATAATAGTGAAACAATTCCAATCTATAACTACTAAATGGGGCCACAATAATTCTATAATAATCACAGTAAGTAAATAATAAATGATAACGAATGGTTAGCAATAATCAGTTAATGAAACAGAATATTTTTCCTCAAAAGTAACATATTTATTATATACACAAAATATAATTTCGCACTAAAAACTAAAAAGACATATAAAAGAGTGATATAATAAGAACATAGGTAAACATTCATACCAAATGAAAAACAAATTAAGAATTCTCAAGCATAATGTATGGGACAACAAAAACCTCAACTCATGAATAATTCATAAAAAAATTTAATATTACTATTAAAGGTTAATTAACAAAAGAATGGGAACTGTCTGCAGCATTTTAAACAGTATATGAGAATTTGGAGACTGACCCAGTCTTTTCTATGGTATCTTTGTGTACCTGATAGCCTAGAACAGTTCTTGATTGAATATGTAGCCTCTCTTTCAGTTTTCTGCCAATTTCTAATACTGCAACACTATTCTGTGCATCAGCAGTCCATACCCCTAGAAACATAAAAGTAGAAACGGTTAGTCTCATGAAAATATTCGAGGAAAAGGACAACAAGCATGAGATAGCAGAAGTTATTCTTCCTTGCAACTTGAATAAAAGAAATGTTTTAGATGTAGACTCAGAATACCAACATTTTTATTTGAGTAAAGAAAATTAATGGGAGGAAAGACCAATAAAAATACAAAAAACCTTAGTGTTGCCCGCAAAAAATGAATTAATTCACTCTTCAGTAGGAGCTTTGACACAGTCAAGTGGAGTATGAATAGAAACAAGCTTTCAAGGCACTGATGAACACAAGAACAAAATGAAAGAATCATGTTTATGAATGAGGAAGAATTTGAAAGAAACTGATATACCATGAAAGCAATCAGGTTTCAAGTTCAGAGCAAATATTGAAGTAAAATGTGTCATATCTATCCTCAGTGCAGTTATCAGGCCAAACATGAAAAATGTATGCCTACCGAAGTTTTCACTAGTGAAATATACAGGTATGCATTCAAATATATTCATCTACTTAGACATCATGACAAGGGATGTACTGAAACAACTTAGTTACCAAATCCAAATTTTAGTATTTATTTAAAATATGACCACTGATAAAACATCCATTTATGTTCACTTTAATCAGTACAGATAAATTGATATTTCTCAAGTAATACTTATGAGAAATATTTGGAGTGAAATTGAACTGAATATAATATTTAATACTCATACGACTCATATTAGAAACTGTATATAATTGCCTAGTACTTAACGTAGGATTGATACTGACTTAACCAAACACAGCAACTTCCATAGTTTTGTTTTTCATTAATTCATATCGGGGATTCCTCCTTCGATTGGCCACCGAATATGTCAAATTATCTTAAAGAATAATTCGTTCAGGCCAGTCTCAAATCACTGTAGGTTAATGGACTGACACCTATAAGAAAAAAAACTACTCCCCTGACTAATACCGCGGAGGGCGTTGGATTATATCCGATAGGTGTCAGTGCAGCATTCTTCACAGAAGTTATTCCTGTATATGCTTTTGGCGATACAGTTGCCAGAATCGACTTTCAATTATTGGAACACACTTGCAGACCAGTTTCGGGCTGTTTAGCCACTCGTCAGTGCAAGGTAGTGTCTATCATCAACTCACCAAGATTTAGCCAAAGCCTCGGTAGATAATAACATTATCCTGAGGTGGGTTAAAGTGCACGACAGGAGTAAAGGTAATCGCATTGCCGACTCTTTAGCGAAGGAAGCGGCTGGACTAAGAATTTTAGGACCCAGTGGCACCTACGGCCTGATGACTTCAACAATTGCGGAACTAGTCAAATGTTACACTCATGCTCAACCCTTAAAGAGATGGGATGCAATCAAAGGACGTAATCTTGCCAGGATCACCTTGGGCGACCCTGGGAAGCTGGCGCCGAAGAAATATCTGGCGATGACCAGGAAAAATCTATGCCTAATAGCAGGATTTCTGACTGGCCACTGTCAACTAAGGAAACACTTCCATAATATGGGGCTAGTGGACACACCTCTATGCAGGATGTGTGAACAGGAAGATGAGACTGCCAGACATGTCCTGTGCGAGTGCCCGGAGTTATCGTCAATAAGAGAGTGTGTGTTCGGCGAGTCTTGGCCTTCACCTGCCCGATATAAAGGAGATGTCTCCCAGTGACCTGTCCACCTTTCTGAAAAGGACATGATGGACGATGACCTAGGAGGACAACTCCTCGGGAGGATGTACAATGGGTCACATGTGGCCTAAGTGCTGTGAGCTTTCACTCATCCTTCCTACTCTACAGATGCAGATGCCATAATAATGGTTTCAATGCAGACACAATCCAGAAGAAGTTAGTCAGAAAACAAAGCCGTAAATTTACTTTCAGATTAATATACCCCCAGATCAAACAATCAGAAACCAAGAAATGGATAATATATTTTGGTAAAAGAATAGAAAAAATTGCGGGTTTCTTCAGAGAAAACAATGTGGAAGTGGCATACAGAGCACATGCCAGGTTATCTGATTTCCTTTTCATTGCCAAAGATAAAGAGGACAAGTTGAAGAAATCTGGAGTTTATAAGCTTAAGTGTTCGGAGTGTAATAGTGTTTATTGCGGACAATGTGGTCAAAATTTCTCAAAATGGTATGCTGAACATGAAAGGTCCTTCAGACTAAGTAAAAATTATTCAACGTTTCCAAACCATTCCTTGGGATGCAACCATAAGTTTCCGAATCTAAACAATACAGACAATATAGAAATTTTGCACTATGCAAGGAAGAGTTGCAAACTTGATTATTTGGAATCCTTAGAAATTCATAAGCATTAACATTGCGGGTTCAACCTGTTAAATGATCAAATAGATTTAGTTTACTCACCGGTTTTTAAATTGGCACATCAGCATTGTAAACTATAAATTCAGGTACTCAATCAAGCCAAGTACCTCTATTAGTACCTAGAGGGGTGGTATATAAGGGCTAATGTAATGAACTATTGTTAGTTTATTGTATAAGTATCAAAATGTCATAGGACATTGGAAGCTGCAGTAATGTAAGTTATAAATAAAAGTGGTTAAAACATAGAGTTTCATTTCTTATTTTTCATGGTGATTTCATACCACATAGTAACGACTTCATCCATCACTTCATATGAAGAGAGAAATTCCAAACTTATATCTAAATCGGGAATGGAAATCATAGCCTAGGTATAGAAAGTTGACAGGGCTTGTCTTTGGTTTCGGTTACTGCCAGAATATGAGAACCATTTGTTTGAAAAACATGATGCATCAACATAAAATTTGAGTTTAGTCCTCTGATATTGAAGTAATTGATAGAGAAGTTGCTACCGGGTATGTTAGTAAATGCTGTTAAGAAGGGAGATAACTATTGATATGGAGTGTAAAAAAGTATCATCTGCTATGAGGAATATATAGGTGAAGTAGAGGTGAAGTAAATCTAATCAACAAGTAGAAATATAACCTACTAGCTGTGACTCTGGCTTATGCCTGAAATAAATTCTTCAACTCTTTTCAAATATATAATCAATTTATGTGCAGAATGGAACAAAAAACTATTAAAGAAAATATAAAAACAGAAACCTAAGTTCACAATTACAAGAATAATTTGTGTTCATGATGAAATTTACCCTATTTTCAATAAGAAAAAGTTAATAGAAATATTTTGGTGTACATATTTAGTGGACAAAATTCAATGGAGAACTTTGGAGTTATAATTCAAAGGATTTATTCATTATCTTATCATGATTGACACTCTAATTTCCAATTATTATAACTTTGATTCAATATTGATGATATCTTATCAATATTTGTTCACACACAATAAATAATTGAAATAAACATCACCAAACTAATAGAAAATACTGGTGTTGGGGTTAATGCATTTTTGTCAAACAATTACTTGTACATAGTGAAATTATTGTCGCCGCCCATCCAGTTTGTGGCGCCAAATTCAAGAGAAAAAAATTGACAACTGGTATTTGGTATTTTTTAAACCTTAATATTAGAATGTACCTCTCTTACTACAAAAAAATTTTTAAAGATATTGTGCAGTTCATTTATCTATGCTAGTGAAAAAGTGAAAGTTTCAAAGCTGCTCTATCTCATTAATAGTAAGTAAATACTTACTCACTTTTTCACTCGCACAGAAAAATGAACTGCATAGGATCTCTGATATTTTTGATAGTAAAAGATTTATAAATGTGAATGCTTAAAAATATCACTTTCTATTGAAATTTTTAAAACAAATCAAATGAAAAAAGTAAAAGAAATGATGAAAGTATGTGAATTGGTGAAAAATTTTCAATTCTTGAATTTTTCCTTAAAATATAAGCAAACTTTGTCTTTTGTTTCTCACTACATCAAGTTGTTCGACAATACTTCTATAAATGACGTCATAATGCCGCAATATTGATTTTAATTTGTACTGTCAATTGAAATTTCAATTCAAGATTGCGGCCTTATGTGAATATTTTAAGTAGATTCCTGGATACTACTCACCAATTTTATCTCCTTTTTGCCTAATGTTAACCACAACTCCACAAATCTCATCTGCATTATCGAAATCTTCTCCAATAACACACAAAATCTAAAACAGAAAAGTAATATGAATTCAGTATCTTTTGAAAACATTTACCTTAATGATCATTCATTACATATGGTGTTATAAGAAAGATCTAATTACTTATACTAGGAGGAAATTATTGCAAAAAATGCCGAGGACGTTAATAAATTAGTCGATAACCAGCATAAGCATTGCAGATGTAACCCGCTGAATGATCAAATTGAACTAGTCTATTGGTCGATTTTCAGATCAGTCTACCCACATTGTCACAGGTGAACAAATTTCAGGTACTCAATTGAGTTAAGTACCGCTGTTATTTTTTTTATCATTATTCATTTATTGTTTCTTACGATCAAAAAGTATTACAAATTGGTGGCGTAGTTTTCCTTGAATAAAAATAAAAAATTTCTTCTGGGCAGAAAAATAAAAAAAAAGATTTCAATCACCATAAAAATTCTAGCTTAAACCTAAATAGTATGATAACATTGGTGTGTTGGACGTGTAAAGAAGGATTAACAACATCAGTCTAACTAACATACAGTATTGGTTCAATATATTCATCGATCAAAGATCGTAGTCTCATTACTTCCATCGTGAACTGATCAACAATTTTGACCTCAGACAATGTGGTGTTGGTGGGAGTTTCACTCAGTGAGATCATATTTTCTAGGGAATGACAGTCAGGTTTCAGAGAGTTAAGGATGGGACAGGTGAAAAATAAATGTTCCAATGTTTGGGGTAATTTTAGGTTACAAAGTGTACAAAATTCAGTTAAATCAACATGATGGTGAATATTTTTATGCGTTATTCTCAGTTCTTTCACATTAAAGAGTCGTAGTTTTGCAATAGTACTGAAAGTATGTATGGAACAATTGAGCGATAGGTAGTTTGATGTACATTGGGCACTGTTTGTTATGATCCCCTAAAGAGTAAGTATCTGGAAGAAGTTTATTTATTCAGGTCTGATTCATAGCAGAATTGTTTATATTTATCTAAGAGATATTGCATGTTTCTTTTGAGTAACCGTGGATCTAACTGATTTCATAGATCTACGCAATTTATCTAATCAAAAAACAAACGTAATGACTCGCCTAGTTGAAGCTAACGTCATGAGATGGAATCAAAAATTGGCTGCGGAAACATTTTTTCGGAAATTTTTTTTCACCCATTTGTAGGATCTCTATAAGCCAGGTTAGGGAGTGTTTGAAAACCGTGAATGATATGTGGATTAGGCCTGTTTTGAGCCGGACACTGAAATACGGGCTATTCTGTGGAAGTCTGATCAGTCGCTTGAAAACCCTATCTTGGACCCCCTCTTGATTATATCAGTATAGCTAAAGCCCAGACTGGCATCAAGGAAGCTAAAATACTCTCAACAATCGAGTTAAACAAGCGGCTTCTAGCCTTTCATGAGTTCACATTACCCTTGGAAAGAAGTGAAGATACCGTTCTGAATGCCTGTTTAAATTTTGATGCGTGTGCCAATTCTTTAAATAGGGATGAAGAAAGGAATTCAACTCCAAGATACGTGTACTTATTCACAATTTCAATTTCACTGCAATTTAAGAGAAAAACGATGATTATAGACTTTCTTGAATCCACTTTTTGAAAACCACATTATTTTGGATTTGTTGGTATTGACAGATAGCAAGCACATGTAGGTCATAGTATTCTTCCAATATCTTTAGTTTCCTAGAGTGATTAATTGGTGAGTCACCTAGCATAATTACATTGTCAGCATACAGAAGGAAAACTATGTCAATCTGACTGTTTACATATATTTCTCTTGCGCCACGATCGCGGGAAAAAAATCCATATAGGCAAAGAAAAGCGAAAATAAACTGGGGCAGAGTGATTCCCCTTGTAGAACCCCTGAAGAAACATCGAATTTCTTAGTCAGCTGTTGGTTGACTTCAACTTTAAATGTAGCGATGTTATAAAAGTTTCTCAGAACACAAGTGAAATTGGAACTGACCCCTAGAGAGAAAAGTTTCTGCAGTGTGTTTTCAACAGAGTAGAAGCCTCTTTTGTTGTAATTGAATTAATAAGTTTAGTGTGAAGACATGGTCAGTACAACCACACGAAGTAAGAAAGCCAGCCTAGCACTCAGATTTGATTTCATTGGTGTCACTCCAATTGGACAGCCTGTTTTTCAGAATAGAAGTGAATAACTTCGTGCAGCAATTCACGAGTGCAGTACGATGATAATTTGGAGGACCTCCACCAGTACCTTTTTGTGCAGCATAGTCATAATGACTTCACCCCAGGCAGAGGGAATTAGCCCTGTTTTAGTTTCATAAATTCTGTTGAAGAGCGAACATAGGTAAAGAAGCCCGTTCTCAGGCAGGTGTTTGAAAATCTCGAACGTTATTCCGCCCCTCCCCTACGGGAGATTTGCCATTATGGGGTAGCAATCGAGTCACTAAAAAATTCTCATTCAGTGGTTCCCAAAGCACACACATTTCAGAGCTCAGTGCTTTCACAGCACTCCAAGTCGTTGGTATATTTTTTTCTTTTATTAGTTTTACATATAATAATAACTTCAAAATCGTGCAATGAGAATCACTTTGAGATGTAACAGATATACACCAATATCATTGATGTTGGGAACATTACAATGGCTGTCAATAGAAAATAGACTTATTTATTTAACTATGAGTTATATCTTCAAAATGTTGCATAATCTTCTTCCATCATATTTTCACAAATATATAACTATAAATACGCAAGTTCACCAGCATGATTTTAATATAATGGCTTTCAGCAATTCAGATTTAGCAGCAGGGGAGACATTATTTATATTACAAATTTCAAGTTGTTTTTCAACGAGGATTTTGCCTACAGTGGTGTTTAGTTATATAAGGGTTAACATTATTATTTATTTTCAGTTTTATTGTATTAGTTTGAAAATGTCCATATATGACGAAACTGCAGTAATGATAGTTACAAATAAAAGTAGTACTAAATCATAGAAATTTTCATTTCTCATGCTAAGTTAGATTTATTTTAGTCTAGTCATCTGATGAGGTCAAATTAGTTGGTGGAATACGGGTCAAGAAGAGTGTTGCAGTTCTGATGTTTAGGAGCGCTGTTTTGAATAAAACAAGTTATTGTTGAAAGCTGTATGAAATATTTCAGAATGTTGATTTTAAACACATTGTTTTTGTCATTTTATCATTAATAATCGCAGAACACAATCTAATTAAAAAAAAACAACTCTGACATGAAGAACTCTCGAAGATTGAACAGATCTTATCGTGTTTCCGAACTTTTCAATCACTAATAAGAGCATTACTGAACAATTTGCTATCTAAAGAAGGTCGGAAGCCTGAAACTGTTCATTGGGATCGCTATGAAAAAAATGCTTAGTCGTATATAGATGTCATTATCCATGGCTCAAGTATTAACGTATTTCATATTTACAAATTTTAAAAACCAACTTGAAGTCCTTTACTAACTGAATCAAGCCTACTTCTGCGTACACCCACTATTATAAAGATTCAAATAGTTTCAGAACACCATTTGACACAAATACCCATAATTTATTGAAAATATTTACTAAACATTGTTGTGAGTTACATAATAAGACTGTTCGACCTGATAACAAATCATAATAATTTTCTCCTAAACCCACTGATGGGTTCGAAAGAATTTTCATTCACACTAAGGTACTTTGCAAACTTTTAAAAAATCTAAATGACTTAATTTGTTAATTGACTCACTATATCCAGGAAATACCGATCCAATTCGTTATTTCTCTGTTTCTTGTCCAGGCTGAACAACCATCTACCCCCTCTTTTATTGCTATCATCTTCCCACATGGGCATTATTCCCTTCTTAAACAAGGAGTAATCTGTACCTTGTCTCAATTCACTAGCAGGCTTGATATGGTTGTAGAGGCTGAAAAACATTGAAAGTTTAGATTTAATTTAGTGAAATGTTTCTTTAACTGTCACCTCCAGAAGTCCTCTACATTTTGGAAGGATGCAATTTCCTTTTGGTTTTGCTCCCATGACAAAGATCTATCATTTTCATAATACCAAAGTGTCCAGCAGCTTTGTAGGGGATGTTTTATGGAAAAGTCCATGGGAATATCGAACTCCTTGTCGTTCTTATGGTCATTTACTTCGACTTGAACCTGCAATGAAGTCATTTGTTAAATAAACTCAAATTTCTAATGTATTCTCAGCCAACTATGCTTTTATAAAAAATTAGGTTTTTTACAACATGGCACTCCTGTAGATTTTGTTACCACGGTAACAAACCTTAACCAAAGCAATGAAATAAAAAAAAATAGCTGATCCATTGTGTTTCAATAAAAATGTATGATATATTCACCTCATTTTCCACACAATTTGTAGACATTTTAATCGAAGATGCTGTCGAAGCCGAACCACAACTACCACAAGCCTGAAAATAAAGACTTACAACTTGTGACAGAAGTCATATGTCATAAAAAGAACAATTATCTACCAACATAGTTACTTGAAAAAAAAAATATAGAATTCATAATTTGGAATGGGCGAATTTTCAGTTTCATGAATGAGATAATGCAACTTACCATTAATTGATTGATTGTATAAGATTATTTGCTTTTAAAAATATTTCTCGCTTTTGAAATATCAATTTTTGACATTTATGTCAAGAAAATGAAAATATATATAAGAATCGTTGCCAGGCATCAAAAAAAGCAAGATAAAAATTCATTTTGTATACAGGATAGGGTGCCTTTTGCTGTTTGAACTTTCGATCGTCAACTTTGGCTTTTTTGATTTCAGAATTTTCTCAATTTATTACGTCAAGACGTAATGAATTTTCACTCCGCCATACCATGATGGCGGAGTGAAAATTTGATTTACACAAATATTTCTGAATAGATTGTAATATTTAGTGAAATTTGACACATTCCTAATTCTGTGAGCAAAGTACGAGTAATATCAACATTGCATTTTTTGTTGTTGAACTGAGAGTTGTCTGAGAAAAATTTGGCCTCGATGGCAGTTGGCGAGTTTCGAAAAGCGAAATTCCTATGCGACTAAAGATGTAGACACAGATTTGATACCACGTGATTGAAAATTCCATGAAGCAAAATATATTCAACGAACGCTCAATTCTATTCGGAATGACAAGTTGACATTTATGGTATTATTTGTTATCACAAACATCTTACTTGAGTTTCCGTTTCCCGGCATAGAGTATGGACATTTTGCTCTGTTTGCCGAGGAAACGGAAGATCATGCCATTAGCACGGGCTAGCAACAATTTATGAAATCAAGAGGTATTAATAAAGAGTAAAGTATTGTGTAAAATAAAAGACCTCTGCACCCCCAGGACAAAGACATAACAGGAAGAAAGCTAGTCATATAGCACCGATATTGGAAGCTGAGGCCAAGTGCCAATAAAATAAGGAAGATAAGGTAACATCTTATTTTAGTTTTACATATGATCGTGAAGTTTTTCACTACAATATGCAAACATTTTTTAAAACAGTTAGAAAAATGAAACTAGTATTTTCATGATCGAAGATTTATAGAGGGAACTCAAAGCATTGCTTACTTATCAAAAGGAAGCAAGAAATAATTAAAAGAGAGCTTCTTTACGAGCAAATAAATTAGCAATTGAAGGAAAACTGTACTCATTAGTTGAATTTTAAGCTGACAAACACAAAGAAAGCGACTCCCAATTTGGATGAGTTTTGCAACATGATGATCAAATCAGGCTTGGAGGCGTTTCTTTCCTACATATATACACCTACCTACCTCAGAATATCAGAAAGAAATATGAACAATGGAGTTTCAAGTAGCAGGAGACAGTATAGAGGATGGGGAAAAGGGAGAAAGTGTGGTTTCGGATAATGGCGTTGGGAATATCTGAAATATGTTTTATATATTATGAACAAAATAATGCTGAAATGATATTTGCTTATATCTATTTGTTTGGTGAATAAAAATCAGAAAAATTATTGAGTATTTTATAAATCAATATCGAATATTTTATAATAATTTACATGTCAATATTATAGTAATCCAGACTGAACAAAGCCATTGAGGGAATTATTATAATACAATACAGCATAAAACAAAACAGCAACCAAGATCCAGAATCTAACGCTCATATTGATATAATTCAGAGTTCAATGATATACGAATATTATCAATATTCGGATGTATAAATTTTGTCACATCCTTTGCCATACTCTCGGATTGGTAGGTGTTTTGGAAGTCAATGATGATATATCGTGATTTTCAGTTTCTGGCGGTCTTCCGGCCCAATATGCCTTATTTTCCATTTTACTGATTACCATTTCTGCATCGACTTCCCCAATGAAGGAATTTTTGAATGAGCGCGCTATAATCAAAATGAGCTCTTGCTTCACATTCAATATTCCTTTATTGTAATCTTCAGCAAAACCCATGAGGTACTTCAAAGGTAATCCAATATATCTTGTTTATTTAGATCAAGACTCAATTCTATCGGTAGTTAGGATTTTGCGTGCAGCCACTTGCTCGCCACCTATTTTAGATCGAATTTCATCGAATAGATCGGCGAGGGAGTTATTGGATAGGTAACACTGCTTGGTGACAGCAGATGGTGTGAAGTTTCCCTCGATATAAATGTAACTGTCTGCAATACCGTGTATAAGATGTTGAAAGTTGATAGAGATTCTGATTTCATTCGAATTCGTATAATACCAACCATATGGCTTATATGTATACTCAAGAAGGCTAATGGAGGGAATGGTCGAACATGGGCTCCTCGAAAACCTTCAATTTATCACCTGCTGTGATGGCAGCCATATCACAGCTTTTGTTTACATCGCAGCTTCAAACTAATGGATTTGAAGAAGTTTAGGCTACCAGTGCTTATTCTATAACTTGTTCGTTTGGCGGACGCCTATGAAATGAATCGACTTTTAAATTTTCTCTTCTTCAATTGTGTATGATATTGAGCTGATTCAACTGTTGCCGCTGCTACAATCGCTGTCCATTGAAGCACAATCCCATTTTTTTTAGAAACAATTATCGTGAAATGTATAGTTTGATCAATCATTATAATATGCTCTCTGTCAGGAAGTAACAAGTACTGAGTTAAAATCTCATCAGCTCCAGTTTTTTAATGATCTATTTCACAGATGAAATTGGTCATTGCTCACCATTATTTTTGCTCAATTTTGCATCGATTTGAATTTCTTGTTTAACCGCTCGATTCACTTTCTGAACTGCCCTCTTCGGTCGAGAAGACAGGCTTATATCGGTAAAGGTCCTTTCGAGAATTCTGTAGTCGGTTCGGTATTAGAATTTTACCGGCGGTTCCAGACTGCATTCTTTTGAGGTGAGATCATGTGTTTTTTCGATGAATCGGCTGGTGTATCGGTCAGGGGCGGCTTCAGATTCGTTACATTGCCCCCTCTCAAAGACGTTTCGCCCCGAAATGTCATCCTTGACGTGTGTCGATACCTGCAGGAGTCTCCATATCTGCAATGCGAAGTTCGATGGAAGTAACACTCCATAGTCTTAATGCTCGGTCGTGGAAGATGGTTACCGCACACCAAAATCTTGATTCCACTGCATCTGAATATCGTTTTCAACATGTTTCTCACAATGCTGGTGGAGAATCGTGTCCCTCAGTCTGGTAAGATTCCTCCAGACATCTTCATAGGACGGTTTATCTCGAGAATGCTTTTTGGTCACCAAGTGGAAAATGTTTCTCTGACCCTTTTTTAACTGTATCCTCCGACTTCTGGATTCTGTTCTCGTAATGTTTGGAGCTGACCGAATTTCTTATTGAATACCACAGCGATACCCCTGGACATTTGGAGATCTACTGCCACGCAGTGAGCTAGTGCGTAATCAACTGGAACTTTGGAAAGGTCTCGTGGCTCTTCTTGAGTTACCCTATGTACGACCTACTGTCCGTTCGAGTATGAAGACATGAACTTCTGGAACGTTATTTCATCCTCTGGTAGTCAAAGGGCGCGAACTTGGTCGTGATTTCCAGCATAAGGAGCCGATCTATTAAAATGGACGACCCTAGGCTTTCCTCGAGGTGGCTTATGAATTCGGTAGACGAGGTCAATTATCTTCTTCATGATTTTGTACGGACCTTCCCACCAGTTCCGCAACTTCGGTGATAAACCACGGCGTTGCTTTGGATTGTATAGCCAAACTAGCTTGCCAGTTTCGAATCCTCCAGCATTCGCCTTGATGTCATCGCTGGCACTTCGGATGTTTAGACGGACTTGTTCATGGATGTCGTCCATTCTCTGCCGAAGCTTGCTGATATAGTCTTTCCCCGCAGTGTCTTATGCTGGCACGTCCCAAATTTCAGATCACAAGGAAGCCGCAGCTTTCGGCCCATTATAATACTGGCAGGAGTTTGGCCGGTTGACTCGTGTACTGCCAAACGATAGGCCAACAGGAACAGGTGGAAATTATAGTTTCGGGCCACGGGAACCACTTTTTAAAAAGACTTTATTTAGATTTACAGACTTTATTGTACAGAAGTTACTCTAACAATCGTACTAACAGAACTGATTCTTCCTTCAAGATAGGTGGCTTTTATAAGTTTATTATAACTTAGTCAGCATTTGATGAATAAGCATAAAGGAGGGTTTTATATACATAACTCCTCCATCCCTAAGATGAAAATGTCTGGAGGAGAAACTTCTGGAAAATTCGAAGAGTTTAAAAGATAAACTTCAACAAAACTCGACGAGTTTGGAAGATAAGCTTCTGGAAAATTCGAAAAGTTTGGAAGATAAGTTTCAAGAGAATTCGACTAGTTCGAAAGAAGAACTTCTAGAAAATACAGAAGGCTTGAAGAAAGAGCTTTGTAGTGTGGCGAGCCTACTCGAAGAAAGGATAGAAAGGAACCATCGAGACAGAGATAGATAAAATAAGGAAGTAAATAAATACAGAAGTAGAAGAAATCAAAGGAGGAGTTCAGGCAGAAATCAGCAAGATGAAGGAAACAACTAGCAAGTTGCAAATTCTGTCCATACCACAGAAACTGTTACCGAAAGCTTAATTCCGGAACTGAGTTTCAACATGGAAGAACTTCATAAGGCAATGAATGATGTCAAAGGCAGTTCTGAACCAGGAAAGCTCTCCATGAAGCCGCCTCAGTTCGACCGAAAAACTCCTTGGGCAAATTACCGCCGACAATTCGAAGCTGCTGCCAGCGAATGGATGGAATGCAGGAGAAAAGGGTGTATCATTAACATTGGCGTTGCGTGGAGAAGCAACGAATATTTTGTCTAACAGTCATTGGGAAATGAATTCCTCCAAGTTTCAATGCTTCATAATAATGAGGATATGATTAAGTACGGTCAGCACTTTTCTGCACAGGATAAAGTGCTGAGATAACAGCCCATGCAAAGCAGGCCTCATCATCGTTTTTTACATTTATGCAAGCATTTTTCAGCAAAATTTGAGGTGGAAGTTCTATGAATGATGACCCCAGCTGCGGTGTGAACTTATTTATATTCACACCCAAGTTCACGATCTTCTTCAACGCCCAGCCGCTGTCTTTTTCTTGAAACTCTTCAAGCTCTCCAAGTATTGGTATTGTAATTTTTTTATCGAACCAAACGTTGAGGGCCTGTCTCTATATATGGGAGAGTTCATAGTAGTGAAGTACTTGTACTCCTTCAGTAGTGTGTCCCCCTTCACTATCTCAAATTCTTAGCAGAAGGTGGTATTATACTTGACAGATTCATCCTTCTTCAGAAGATTCCGAATTCGCCGCTTGAAGAGAGCCTTGCAGTCATCCAGAAAAGCTAAGGGGTTCTTATGTTTGAAATTGGAAATAACGCTAGATCTGATTCAAGAGTTGAATGCTGACTCGAAATCATTCCAACGAACCCACTCTCTAGCACCCTCAGGTCATGGTGCCTGCCCCGCCCCCTTCTTTCGTATTACTTTGAACCGACTTTACAGACTTTTAATATTGCGGTAACAGGCTTCCAAATGCTGCTCATTTTTATCATAATACGGTAGGAAAAGCTATCATGTCAATATCCGTGAGCAATTTCAGCTCTACACCGATTTATTCGAGCATGGCATCCCAAGGATGGCCGGAAGAGGTGAAATAGAGGGCTGGATATACTTTATATTTATTCAGACATATATTACGGAAATTTTCGAATGTACCACATAAAATTAATAGATCCTGCAGCTGAAAAAGCAAATGCACTACTGGAATTAATCAAGTTGTCCCGGAGCGCCAATCAATGTTTGTTGTTGTTGAAAAATAAACAAAGTTAAATCAGTAAGTTTCATTAGTTNTTGAAATATTATACCATAAACAGTATTAGGTTTCAAATATTCTAAAAAGATTTTTACTATATCGTTTTCAATGTTTCTAGTAGATATTACGATTTTTAAACGTGTCTTATCAAAGGGTTTAGTTATACTTACTTTTGGTGAAATTATGTCGTTACTTTGAACTAAGAATATTTGATTTTTAAATTTATTTAATGGTTGCTCTGATATTGGGATTTCTAAAATCGGGTCTTCTTGCGAAGAATGTTGTGTTTCATTTGAGTGTTTTATTTTCGGTTCTTCTTGTTGGGCTGGTACGACTATTATGTCTGAAAGTATTTTAATCTTCTTTTCCTCTGGGAATTTTTGTTTTTCTTTAGCTGGTTGAAAATGTCCTGTGTGGTAATTTTCGGGTTAGGGTTCTTCTCTTGATTGATGTTTTTCGACTTCTTCATTGGCGAGTTCATCTATTTCTTGCATTTGTCAGCATTTGATGAATAAGCATAAAGGAGGGTTTTATATACATAACTTGGAGGTACTGCTCCCAGTCTCTTTGGTGGTCAGAGACTACCTTGGACAAGTGGCGGTTTATAGTCTTATTCATTCGTTCTACCATTCCATCGGACTGTGGATGTAAGGATGTGGTTCTGACCTTACGAATGTCCCACAGTTTATACATTTCTTGAAACAGGTTGGACTT